TGAGCAGGGAGCCCGATGTGGGACTCGATCCCGGGACTCCAGGATCATGACCTGAGCCGAAGGCAGTCGCTTAACCAACTGAGCCACCCAGGCGCCCAAGGTAGAGCATTCTTATGAAACCTTTTGTAAGACACAATGATGTAAGGCAAGGCAGAGATGACTGTAATTCATATGGAAAAAATTTTGAGCATTCCCAGACCCCCAAAATAACCTCTTAGGCTTTTCTGGTATCTTAGGACACGTTTTGTTAATAGATGCACAAAATAAATCTAGACAAAACACAGTTGCTCCCAGATACACAGTTCAAAGCTATGGCAGCCTGATGCTGAGATGCTTGTGTAGTTCCCAGGTAGGGAGCTTGGTGGCGCCACTCACCGCTCTGGGTCGCGTTGCCTCAGTGAGGGCTACCTGCAAAACAAACGCTGGATGCGATTTTTGCTTTACAACTTGTTTTTGTTTTTTGTGAAAGCAAAAACTCTCTTCAGATTTCTTTCAGTTAGTGAAAACAGGTACTAATGTAGGTCTTTCCTAAAAATGAAGTGGCGTAACGTGAACTTCCAAAAAGCGGGGGACACATGGATTTAGCTATTTCAAATGATGAAGTCTTAAGGATGTAGGAAATTTTCTAGGTGAGTAGAATGTGAAAAAGGCATGAGACAGATTTCTAAATACAGCAAAATCATAATTTTTTAGTAGAAGGGAAAAAAACTAGGGAAGGAGAAGATACTCAGGTATATCTGTAAGTGGTGAGATCATGGGTGACATTTTTTTCTTTTTATAGTTTCTAAAATTTCTAAAAGGACTGATTTTTTGATTGGGGAAAACACTTTAATATAAATCATATTCTTTGGGAGGGGAAAGGACGTCAGGTTAGTTTATTCATCGGGCAAGCCAGCAGCCTCTAGAGCCCTCTCCTCGTTTCTTTCAAAGAACCAGGCAGCCTTTGTGAATACACAAAACACCTACACACTTTGGTTGTGTCTGTCAGCTTGGCATGGAAGCTGTTCCCTCCTAACTTCAAAAGGATAGAAACTCCACAGTGTTGAAATTGTGCAGGTCATGTTGCCGAGACATGCCCATACATTTATATCCCATCATTGAAGTGAAGGCATTCTGTAGTAGGGAGAAGAATTTTAAGAAGATAGATTTTTCTGGGTGGGTGGTTAATTCTTGGAATTCTTTCCCTGGTTCATGGTTTTGGGAAGCTGTTGAAAGTGCTGTCTGCTTTGCTTCATTCTTGTTTTAGCTCGTGCCCTCTTAAGTAACTTGTTGCTGAGCGGTTCAGTCTGTCCGTACTTCACGGAATGTCTCGAAGATGCAGTGTTCTCTTGCAGCCAAGACTTTCCGAGAATTAAAATCCCTGTGTCTTAGGTGGGCTTGGGCACCTGAGCTGAAAGTTCTTGTTTTTTTAAATGCAGCTGGGTCCTGACAGATGAAATGCATCTCTGAATAAAAGGCCCACTCTCTCACCCTGGGAGGAATGTGTGAGGATCAGGGGTCCTCAGACATTACTGACCTGTTGTTGTGTCTGCAAGCCTTTCCATTCCCATGACTTCTCATTCATTATCTCTCTCTCTCTCTCTCTTTAGCCATAACCAACAGACCACAGCATTCAGGCATCCTGTGAGTGGGCAGTTTTCTCCAGAAAATAGCGAATTTATTCTTCAAGAAGAGTAAGTACTTCTATGTGTTCTCCTTTTCCAAGCAGAGTTTGGGAGCTTAAAGGCGTTGGCTCAAAACAGAGCTTGTTGGACTATTTTCTCTCCTAGATAGAGGGACTTGGAGTGGGTTGGTTGATTCAAAGTGGAATGCAAGAATTTTGTTTTTCAATCCCTGGACTCCTCTCAGTGGGAAGATGCAGAAGTGTGGAGATGACGGGTCTGTGCCATGATTGGTACTGTCAGAACCTCTTGCAAACTTCCTTTCCCCTGAACGACCCCCCTCCCTACAGTATCATCTAACACACTACCTGTACTCTTAAGAGGACCCACTCCTCTGGAGCTAAATGGCCTTAAATCACACCAAACTGAACCAGCCTTCCAAGGAAGCCTCAAATAAGAGTCCAAGGCCATGGCTTCGAAGGGAGGAGGGCTGTGGCACCCATTGTCCCTGAACGTCTAGAGTTCTTTCTGCTTGTTTTTTCTGATGTGGGGACTTTCTTGCTCCTCAGTCTGATTTCAGCAGGGCCACCGGGGTGCTCAGAGGTAGGTTCTATCACCCAGGGCTCATCTCCTTAAAAATGCATATACAGCCCAAGCAGGATGTGTACTTCTCCCAAAAATGAAGGCAGAGAAATGTATGCAAGTGGCTGTTTCCTTTTGCTCATCTGAGACACTTCTGTTTGAAGTAAGTAATTCTGTTTGTGAAATTAATAGAGATGTTGGCTTTTTCTCTCCTTCATATCATTTTTCTGTTCAATCATCTGGACCAAGTATGATCTGAAAATAAATAATCAGTATTTATATTTTTATAGCATTTCCCTCCCTCAGTACTTATACTTTTAAACTTTCGATTATGGGAAATTTCAAACCTATACAAAAGGAGAGAGATAAAGTAATTAAGTCTAATGTATTCATCTCCCATCTTCAACAATTTCCAAAACATGGCTGATTTTATTTCATCTGTAGCGTCCCTCTCACCACCTAGATTATTTTGAAGCAAATTCCAAACATCATTTTGTTCCTACAGTATTTTCAGTTTAGAATCATTATCTTTCAGGGGCGCCTGGGTGGCTCAGTTGGTTAAGCGACTGCCTTCGGCTCAGGTCATGATCCTGGAGTCCTGGGATCGAGTCCCACGTCAGGCTCCCTGCTCAGCAGGGAGTCTGCTTCTCCCTCTCCCGCTCCCCCCTCTTGTGCTCTTTCTCTCTCTCACTCTCTCTCAAATAAATAAAATCTTTAAAAAAAAAAAAAAGAATCATTATCTTTCAGAACTTTTAAAACTAGAAATCTGTAATAATGATACTGACATTCGTTGCCCGTTTACCTTTGCTGGGGGTTTTACATGCATATCTCATGTAACACAACAAACCTGAGAAGTAGACCATTATCACCGTTTTAGAGACGAAGACACCAAGACTCAAAGAAGCAAGGTCACTTGTTCAAAGTTGCATGGCTGCAAGTAGAAAAAGCCAGGGTGTCACTCCTGCTTGATCTTTTCAGTCAGGGCTAACCCTTGCTACTAGTGAGAGGCTACTTGCTAAATTCTTTGGATGCTCATGGCTCATGGGTCATGATGCCAGACTGGGGTTGGGGGTCTGACTTTGAAAGCATCGGTACTATTAGGAAGTAGATGGGAGGTAAAGATTGTCTTGTCTCCTACATTGAGACAGAACTGCTATGTAAAGACAGAGCCAGAATGTGGATTCTCTACATTCCAACTTGGAATGAGCATGTTTAAAGAATCCTGAAGGTCAGAAGCTCTTAGGAGGTCAGAGAGTTTAGCCCCCTTCCTAAGGCATCCTAGAGACACGGCTGCCTGTCATTTTTAAAGGTCTGGATGGAGAATCCATTAGAACACCTAGTTTAGGAAATTACCAACTTTAATAAAAGCTTCTAGAGAAATTCAGACTTCCCATCACTAAACACCCTTGTCTTATACACACCTCCTTTCCCTCGCTATTAAGACTTTGTCTCTGGCTACTTCTGAGAAGGTAGCCTCTTTTATCCTCCCAAAATATCTCTGTAGCTAATCTCAGTTCCGTCCAGTTTCCAAGAAAAAGCTTTTTTTTCAAGGGTCACTTTTCCCCTCTAGATCACATTTTCTGGATGTCGTAAGGACTGCTGGCTTGTCTCAGGTGGTGGGTGCAATGTTGGGTGACCAGACGTTCCTTGAAGCAGGCAGAATGTACTTTAGGCATTGAGAGGAGGGGAGGATTCCTGTGAACTGATGTGGTGATCCCTGCATTTACTCTTTAAATACTAAGTGCCTCTGTTGTGTCAGGGGCATGCCAGAGTCTACAGTCACAGCAGCAGGTAAGACAAATATAGTCCTGTCTGTGAAGAGTTGATGGTAGAGTGGGGAAGACAAGTAGACAAGAGATCACAAATGTGATAACTCTTCTTGGTAGAAAAAACCTAGGGTTCAATGGGAGTTGATAAAAGAGGGTTCTAACCTGGCTTAGGGATTGTGGGAGGCCTCTCCATCCACGGAAGGGATGCTGTTTAAATTGAGACCTGTCCGGTCACAGTGCCCCAATCTGGGCAACGACCTAGAGGAGAAAGACGGTAGAGCATGGGGGATCTATACCAGTTGAGTTAGAATGAAACATGAAACACACCAGGTGGACTCTGGAGGTAAAACTGGACTTGGGAGGTAAAATTGACAGGACTTGATAATTGATTGGCTGTGATGGGGATGAAAGAGAGGGAAGACTTTCTTGAAGTGTCTGGCTCTAAATTGGAGGAAGGGGGGATTTAGATAAGTGAAGATAAGTGTGCACGTGCGTGCGCAGGTCATTCACAGCTGAGGGAAGTGTGACTGGCCTTGGTGGGGTCAGAGGCCAAGAGGGACTGACTTATAGCCGAGGTTTGCAAAGGGGAGTGAGGAGATAAGGTTGGAGAGGGAATTGCAGCCAGTTATCTAAATTGCTTCTGCCTGAAATACACCCAGATTTACCCCTGGTGGAATTTTGGAGGGTGTGTGAGGCATGATTTCACCTCACAGAACCCCAGTTTTTTAAAAATGTGCCAACAACGGGCACCTGGGCGGCTCAGTTGATTAAGTGTCTGCCTTTGGCTTGGGTCATGATCTCAGGGTCCTAGGATCGAGCCCCATATGGGGCTGTCTGCTCAGTGGGGAGTCTGCTTCTCCCTCTCACTCTCCCTCTGTGTGCGTGCTCGCTCGCTCTCTCTCTCATTCTCTCACTGTTTCAAATAAATAAATAAAATCTTTAAGAAGTGCCAACAGATAAGATTCCTGTTTTGTTCCCTTAGAGGAGCTTAATTTTGTTGTGTAGTGTGTTACTTGGTGAGGAAAAAGGACTGAGATAGCCATTTGTGTGTCCTTTACACATCAGCTCTCCGATTAATGTGGTGGATGGAAAACTGGCTCTTTCCTTTTTCTTCTCTGAGTATCTGTTGAGGCCACATGGACTCCTCTTGCCAGAGCGTCCACCTGAGGTTCTTGAAGTGAATCCTTCCATAGCAGTGGGTTTTCAGTGTGGTCTCTGAACCAGCATCACCTGGGAACCTCTTAGAAATGCAGATTCTTGAACCCCGTCCCAGACCTACTAAATCAGAGACTCTGGAGTTAGTACTCCGTAGCCTGTATTTTAAAGGCTTCAGGTGGTTCTAATTCAGGTAAAGTTTAAAAACCACTGATTTAGACAACTTGCTTTTTTTTTTTTTAAAGATTTTATTTATTTATTTGACAGAGAGACACAGCGAGAGAGGGAACACAAGTAGGGGGAGGGGGAGAGGGAGAAGCAGGCTTCCCGCAGAGCAGGGAGCCCGATGCGGGGCTCGATCCCAGGACCCTGAGATCATGACCTGAGCCGAAGGCAGACGCCCAACGACTGAGCCACCCAGGCGCCCCGACAACTTGCTATTTTTATCCCTCCTAAATTACTCCTAGATTCTTCCTTTCATCCTTAAATCTCCTCCAGATACCCATTGTTCTCTGTGCTGTGGTGCCAATCTTAGATGTATTTAGTCAAATAATCTTGGGCTCCTTCTTTTGTGGGGGGAAAAAAAAAAAACCAAACCAGTCTCCGTGGTGGCTTCCTTGAGAGCATTACTGTGTGGACAGATAACACATCTACCCCATTGTTGGCAGGTGGGGCTTACCTGAGCTGCTTGGTGTAACAGGTGTATGCCCACCCAAAGATGACTTCCCACCTTACAGATTGGAAGCATGGAGAAGAGAAATAATGTGAAAGCTATGATCAGTGGGTCCAGAGGACGTGAGCTCTGAGTATTTTAGTTTCTGTGTCAGTAATACAGAATCAGCCAGGATAAGCTAGGGTCTGCTGTGGTAACAATAACAAACAAAATCTCAGTGACATAAAAGAATTAAGGTTTATTTCTCGCCTTTTTTTTTTTTTTTTTAGGATTTGTTTATTTATTTGAGAGAGAGAGAGAGACAGTGCTCGGGGAGGGGCAGGAGAGGGAGAGAAGCAGACTCCACTAAGCGTGGAGCCTGTTGCGGGGCTCAATCTCATTACCCTGAGATCATGACTTGTGCTGATATCAAGAGTCAGATGCTTAACCAACTGAGCCACGCAGGCGCCCCTATTTCTCACTTTTGCTCCATGTCCATCATAGGTCACCTGAGGGATTTTGTTCTGTCGTTTTTATTGAGGGATGCTCCATCTCTGTGCTTCCATGATGGCCAAAGCCAAGAAAAAGGGAACTTAGTGAATTGTGCATTGTGCTTTCACTCACACTTCATTGGCTAAAGCAAGTCACATGACCTCCCCTAACTTCACGGGGCCACGGAAGTGCATTTCTACCATGCACCTGGGAAGATGATCCAAAATACTTGTTGGCCAGCACTAATGACTATACTTAATAATCCACAGTCCAGATTTATTAAGGGAGGTAGGACCTTTTGAGTCTATCACTGACAAGCTGCTTTTGCTCCTATGATTAGAGGATTTGATTTCTCATTTCAGCTTTTCTGTTAACACGATCTAGTTCTTTGTCAGAACCGTCAAGGCAGGTGGGTATCAGTC